TAGTCGATACGTGCGTACGCATGCGTCACGTGACGCAGTCGTGCCGTTACACGGTGAGTGCTGCAGGACACATGCACATGACGTACGTGCATCCTGGATGAAATCCTGGATGAAATCCTGGATGGAGCAGTCGCTGTCAAAGGTCCCCTTGACCAGCGTCCCATTGACCATCTCGCTGACGTACGTATTGGACATGCGTGATTTGATCATGATTTGGAGCCCCTCCATGCTGTCTAGCTCCACACCGCCAACCACAACGGATATAGAATCTATGAGCCTGTAGCCAACGTCTGGCACGTATGCATACTCGCTCTGTAGCACTGGAAGTTCAATCTCCAACATCAGCCCCGTGATCAGATCGCCTGAGCGCCTCAGGTCGCAGGTGAATACGGGTGAAATATCATCATTGGTGAAAGCAGGCTCGGGTTCATTGAAATAGTTGACAACAGGGTCCTTGGCAAAGGCGTCATAGGTCCTCCAACTGCGCTGACCAACTGGGAAGAAGCTGTGCGTGGGACTGACAGTGAAGCTTACGTCCTGCGGACCTATGGCAAACAGCTGTACAAAGGTTCCGAGGTGTGGTGCTTGGTCCATGAGCATACTATTACACCTCTAATTGACCCAGGCTGGCTGGACGTATGCTCTCAGGACTCGAAAGCTACATGGTCTCTGCCTCCCCTGGGGCTGCTCTTGACGGGAGGTGATGGCCATCAGGGTCTCATAGAGCTCGATATCTGAAACGCTCAGCTTGAAGTTCAGGCGCTTGAGGAAGTCCAGCTCCAGATTGTTCAACTCTTGCAAGGGGAGTCCGCCCACCTCGGCAACAAATGAGTTGTCGTAGGTGCTGAAAGGAATGAAAAGCGTTTAGCTTGGCAAGGTGCGCGCAGATATACGGATCACAAGCTTTTGCAAACAGTGTTTGCAAGTGTTGAGAGATGCAGGTGCGGTCCCATTGGGACCTCTGAACCCTCTGTGTATCCGCGCATACACCTCTGCAATTGAATACGGTATTACTTACTCATCATCAAAGAACTTGGCGCCCACCATGACCCTAGTGAGCAGGAGACGATGAACGTTCGTGGAGGACAGAACCACACGCCTGGGGCCACAATCGGAGATCCTGGTGATGTAGACATACCCAGCAAGCAGGGCCACCGGTGAGGGGTTGAGATGCCTGATCAAATGTTGACTGTACTTCCGAATGGGTACTGTGGTTGCTTTGGGGCCATCAAAGAGGGTATGGTTCTCAGCCGTAGATGGTTCCTTCATAAGCGACCACTTCATACAGCAGCAACTGGTGCCTGATTGCTTCTGTAGCGCACATCTCCCTCTCAACCAATCCACTCACCGCACAGGCGTCCCCCGCTTCATGACACCTGTGCCTAACATAGTCCAGGAAAGCTTGATAAGCTTCGTCCTCGGGTGAGAGACTCTTCTCCATCTTGTTGGATCTGGTGGGTGACCATCTCGAGCTTTGGTGCAATTCCCCCTACTTTTCTGCAACCTTTGGCATGAACCGGCAGCCATTGGCGCGTGCGACATAGTCTGCGTCGCCATTGGGATGGCAGACCTTTTTGGCGGTCTGTTGGCGTTTTGACATTGGAGGGGCAAGCAAGGGAGGCATTAATATCTGGTGAGAACTAAAATGTTCCAAAAGGACCCCTTAGAGGGTTCTCGGATTTCCGGGCGAGAAAATCTCGGGGCAACCTACTAGGTCGCTTAGACGAGCTCTTATCAGGTCTCCGCAAGTTGCGGAAAACCCTAAGAGAGTTTTTCGGAAGCCGGTAAGAGAAAATCTCGGGCTGTCTTCCCTTCGGAGCCCCATGCAGAGTGAGGTTCAAGGCGGAAAGGCAAACTACTAGATCCCCAAAGGCGCCTTATGGCGCCCTAGGGGCCATAGGGCTCTGGGCAAGAAAGCACAAGCTCAGTCGATTGTTATGATTTCGGCCATGTCGTGCAAGGTGTGTAATCTGCCAGAGCACAACGACGTCTGCAACAAGTGCGAAGACCTCTAGGTAGATTGCATTGCGCTCTTGACACGAGCGATGAGCTCAGAAACCACTCTCGTGGAGGTGTATCAGAGAGCTACCTGGCTTGCCAATTACATTGAAACATGCTGTAAGGGGAACACGTTAGGAGTAGGTAGGAAGTGTGCAGAATGAGGTTAGTGGTTGTACTTAACGTGCTAGAGTCGCTCGTAGCATGCGCCCTAATCGCTGGGGTGTCAGCTTTAGGGAGTGAGGTTCCAGTATCATATGCTGTACCCATCATCCTAAACGTTCTCTACTTTGTGTTTGCCGCTTCCTGGGACTGTTCGGCGGACAACCCGGATATCAGATTCGGTTGCAGGAAACTCCTGCTCTCGGTAATAGGTTTTGTGACAGAGGCTGCATTCCGGCACCCAGACAGAGTCTTTGTGTACGGTTGCATAGCATTAGGCTCTTTCGATATCTTGGTTCTAGTGGCAACAATCATACAGAGTGTACATTGTGGTCCAAGTTTGGCCCATGCAGAACGAGTTGTCGAACTGCCTAGAGTTCACATAGAAGATACGAAGCAGCCTGTTGCAGCGCCTAGCGTCGCAACGCCTAGCGTTGCAATAGAGATAGAATTGCCAGATGGATCGAGAGCAGTGGGACATCGGCGTGATCTCACTTTGACTTCCGCACCTTCACACCGTTCACTGTCGTGACAGTCGCGTCATCCTCTTCTGTGTTGAAGCTCTTCTTGTGCCAAGACCAGTATTCAGGCGCGCCTATCTTGAATGGCTTGTGCACTTCAGACTTGTACCAGAACACACAGTCCTGCGGGTCACTGCTCTGGATTGTGTTATCCAACACCATGCACTCGAACTCCGAAGTGCACGCCTTGTAGACTGCCTCAAACTGCGCAAAGGATTTGAAGACACCAAAGTAATGTTCATAGAAGCGTTTTCGATTGTTAAGGATCGGATCATTGAAGATGAAGACATAGTCAGTGTTTGCACGAACAGCTGATGGGATGTCCATGATCCATTGCGCCGCAAGGATGACCATCAGCGAAAAGTGACGCCCGTTCATGAATAGGAACCGCATCGTGTCACTCTTCATGATGCTGGGCTTGAAGAGGCAATTATCGAGGAGCAGGAAGCAGTCCGCATCCTTGGCACCCAGCTTCTTCAGATTCTTCTGTCTTGCAATCAAGCGTTTCACAATCTCCTCATCGTACGTGTTGTAAATGAACGAGTCTGGAACAAACTGACGGTAGTATCCGTTTCCCTCTTCGGTTCCACTGACGACAATGCCAGCTGGTATCTTCCTTTTGTGGTAAAGGAGGTCGGTGATGAGCGTCGTCTTGCCCGTGCCTCTTCTGCCTATCACGACCAGAGTCTTATGGTCCTTGAGCTTCTGCAGGTCAAACTTTTTGATGTTGAAGTCGCCTGAAGACATTGGGACCCTCCTTCAAAAGATGGAAAAGAAACGGTCAAACGTTACGTACACTCCGTTCCTCACGTTGGAGAAGAGTGACCTGCAGGGCCGATGTGAGGGACATACATGGTTTGCTTGCTGCTATAGACGGGCAGGGTGCCGTTGTTTGTGATCCGAATGAGGGCCTACCGGGCCGCCTCCTGCTCGGCGGCTTTCTTCTTCATGTCGCTTCCCATACCCATGAAGACGTGCCCTATGCTCACGTTCACGTGGAATACTCGCATGTGGTCCGGGCCACAAGCCGCAGCCACCGTGTACTGTGGCATGTAGTCCGACTGAGCCCTGTTAATACCGTCAGCCGCTATTGCATTTGACCAAACGGCCTGCATGTGACGCATCAGGACATCCTTGTGGTTGAGATCCTTCTCCACTTCGTCAAAGTCCATAGCGTCGAGCATCGGGTACACAAAGTCTTTGCACGCTGCTATGCCCTTGTCAACAAACAAACCCCCCAAGAGCGCCTCGAAGGTGTCCTCCAGCTTGCTGGGGTTGAGGTTCCATTCTTGATCCATGGCCTTGCGGTTCATCATGATGTGGTTTTGAAGCCCCAGCTCGAGTGCCCAAGCCGACAGGGCGCTGCCACAGACCAGCTTGGTCCTTATACGTGTGATGAACCCCTCGTCGCAGGACGGATATCGGTCGTATATGTACTTTGTGACTACTAGATTGAGCACAGAGTCACCCATGAGTTCAAGCCTTTCGTTTGAACCATGAGTGGCTTTGTAGTCCTTCAGGGTACTCTTGTGTGTAAAGGCTGTTATGTACTCATCGAGGTCACTGATGCGCAAGGGAGGCGAGCCGGGCCTCCTGTTCTTGTTCGGGATGGCCTCGACGTTTGCACGGTTGATCCCCCTCTCGGCGGACAGCTCATGAATATCCCGTTTGGCCTCGTTGGCCATGTATGAGACTAGAGAAGAAAATGCGCGTCTTCACGACGTGAGGAGACGTGTTCAAACAACTCTGATGAGGTGCTCCCGTCTGTCGAAGGAGGGTGCCTCAACCTCCCTAAGGCTGTAAGTCCCGTTGCAGTGGAAGGTGCCACCAGGGCCCTTCATGCAGTCAAACACGCTCGCGTCAATGGCCTGAATGTGGTGTCTAGGAGCACGGTTCACCTCTCTGGTCGGAATGGGGATCGGCGCGGAAACAGCAGTGCTGGGGGTGACCGGAACTAATGGACCGGTTACCGGTTGTGGTGGGGCTGAAGTAGGAGCCTGGGGGGGTCTCGAGGGCGCGCTCGGCACCGAGAGGACCCGTGGGCCTGGAGGGCCTGGCATGAGAGGTCCTGGCAGCGCGGGAGGCGCTGGGGCTGGCTTCGGTGCTGCAGGTGGCGCCGAAGGCTTTGGTGTGCCAAACAGAGATGCAAAGAATGAGGGCTTCGCGGGTGCGGTTGGAGGGGCGACCTTTGGCGTTGGGGCTTTCGACACAGCGGGTGTTACCTTCAGAGGAGCTTTAGGCTGCAACGTTATTGCTGGTGCTTTGGCTTTGACTGGTGCAAGGGAGGGCTTCTGAGGGCCCGGTCTTGCAGATGGAGGCACGGCCGAGGCAGGGGCTCTCGAGATTTGCGGGGGTACTTTTAGAGGCGTTGGGCTTGCTTTGACTGCTACGGGACTTGCTTTCAGGACAGGACCTGGGGCCTCTGGAGTTGCTGTAACTGCCTTTTGGAGTGGAGCCTTGACGCTTGCTTTCAGGACAGGACCTGGGGTCTTTGGAGTTGCTGTAACTGCCTTTTGGGGTGGAGCCTTGACTGGAACCGGGCTTGCTTTCGGGACAGGACCCGGGGCCTTTGGAGTTGCTGTAACTGCCTTTTGGAGTGGAGCCTTGACTGGAACCGGGCTTGCTTTCAGGACAGGACCTGGGGCTTTTGGCGGTGCTGCCATTGCCTTTTGGGGTGGAGCCTTGACTGGCGGGGGAACTCTTGGAGCAGGTAGTGGGCTTGCCTTGACTAGGAAAGGGGTTTTTGAGGCTGGCGGGGGAACTCTTGGAGCAGGTAGTGGGCTTGCCTTGACTGGGATAGGGGCTTTTGAGACTGGCGGGGGAACTCTTGGAGCAGGTAGTGGGCTTGCCTTGACCGGGGCCGGGCTTGCCTTGAGGACCGGAGCTGATGGCTTCGGCGGTGCTGCAACAGCCTTGGGCGGCAGCATGGTGGCCGGTGCGCTCTGGACTCGGGGTGGAAGTGCTGAGGTCTTTGGGGGAAGAGCTGGGATCGCTTTTGGTGGTGGGAGAGGTGGCTTGACAATAGGCAGCGGTGCGGGTGGCTGTGCTTTTGGAGGGATTTTTGAAGCAGGTGGAGGGGCAAGGACCTTCGATGGGGCAGGTGGTGCCACTTTGGCCTGAGAAGGCGGCAGCACGGGAGGCCGTGGGGGAGGCGCTACTGATCTTGGTGGAGGTGGTGGCGGCACCACAGGCTTTTGGGACGGAGGCAGCACTGGCCTCGGAGGAGGTGGGGGCACGATCTGCTTCGAAGGCGGAGGAGGCAAGGCGGCTTTCTGTGGAGGTGCAGGTGCGGGTGCAGATTTTGGAAGTGGGACCGCTACCTTTTGGGGTGGTGCAGGGGACTTCGAAGGAGGAGCTGCTGGAGGTTTAGTCACAAAGGATTCAGCCCTGCTGGTAACCGAGGAAGCAAGTACCACTACTGCTGCCAGAGCGATGATGCATCCAAGAGCATTCAATGTCTCCATACTCTTACATACAGCTAAGCAGGATACTTCAGAGCTAACGATGTTGTTGCAGTGCTAGGCTACACGCAGCCAGCTGTGGCCATTCACATCTCCCTCAACCGTGGATACAACGGGTGTTGCCTCGCAGGAAACACCCGCCAAGCCTCTAGAATCTTTGAAGACCCGTTACATCAACGAACCAGGCCTATACAGACTGGCTGGAAGCTCCAAGCTTCCTCTTGCTGAGGCCTTCCAAGATTGGGTGGAGAAACTGAAGACGCTTCTCCAATGGGAGATTGTGCCAGATTCGAGAGTCTTAGTAGCGGACTGTCACAGAAGAACTGGCTTTGCGGGCCTCCAACACAGACTTCAAATGAAGCACTTTGGTTCAGAACGGGACGCAGTCACACTCACACGTCATGGGCCCGGCAGACGGAGATGTCGGGGAATCTGGTGCACTGGCTGACGGGACAGGAGTCTCTAAGGTCACCCGGCCTGTGGCCTGTGCTTCTGTAGAGGCCCCTTTACTAAAAGCAGACGGGCTAGGGGCCAAGGTGCCAAAGGCCGTGGACGGCCAAGGCTGTGAGGCTGGGATCCCAACTCTGCTCTCGATCGATGCATTCCCTCCCTGCAACCGTGCCAGCAACCCCAAGAAAGGTGCCACAGTGTAAGTGGAAGGTTCTGACTGCTCAAAGTTGGTCCTAGCGTCCTGATATCGATCAGCCTTATCAGGGCCACCCACAATTGCACCCTCAAGCACGTGAGGGTTGGGACTCGGCACTTGGAACCATTGAAAACCTTCCCCGCATGCATATTTCTTACCATCCTGCGGGATGGAGGCCGCTCTATGATGAACTCGTTGGGGGAAGTTGGATCCAGATCCAACCATGTAGCTCAACCCCATGGGGTTCGAACCAAGTATGTAGTCTGCCTGCCGCTTGCTGTAGGCAAGCATATCATCTGGTGAGTATGCGGAGCGCGGGCACTTTAATGATGCCTTGGCAGCCCGCAAATAGTCTGCATAGACCGCAATCATGAAGGAGCTGGTAGTGACGTACTGCAGTGGGGACCAGTTGCTAAACCAGGGAAGACCTGCTGGCGTCTTGGGAGCCGCGCCGTCCAGATAGAAGCAAGCAAAGGTGTCTGCGTTCTGCTTGTACTGCAACATCGTGGCATTTTGCTGCGCGCTAGCACCTTTCAGGAGAAGGCGGCTGAGAAGGACGTGAGCTGCTGCCATTTTGTCATCCCAAGAGACTTGTGTGGACGATCCCTTAAACTTCAGTTTACTGTCATCTGATGCTGGTCCGGTGACGTATGAGAGGTAGGAATCCTTTGAAGTAGCCCTGTGAAGCCAGGCAGCCGCCCAAAGAAGTTCATCTCCATAGCCTGAGTAGCTCTTGTAGAATTTGGCAGCCGCAGGGACAGAGTCGCTGTAGACGCCTCTCTGTGTGTCCGCAAATTGGAACAGCTGTTCTGCATGCCTCAAAAGGGTCCTTTGGTAGTTTTGATCATCTTCAAATACAATCGAGGCTGCTGCCAAAGCGGCTGCCGCCTCTGCAGCCGGTTCTGACCCAGGGTGATCCACATCCACCTTGAAGCTTGGTCGAGCGATTTCCATGTCCTCAGGCCTTGTCCAGCAAGCATGGTCGGCATCGCCATCCCCTACCTGTACATAGAACTCATTCAGAGAGGGGTGGGCTCGGATCAGCCAGTCCGTGCCCCATTTTAGGGTTGCCATGGCCCTGTCATTCTGTGCACCATACATGTTCCCGTACTCAACCAGGCCGTAGGCCATCATGGTGATTGTGAAGGATAGGGGAAGGCTGAATATCATGTGATCTCCAGAATCGAAGTAGCTGCGACTGAGGTCAAGTCCAATATCACCCCCGTCCTTTAGGCATGAGTCACCTCGCCGTGGAATTGGATTGTCAGCTGGGAGCTTCCCAGAACGTTGAGCATCAAAAAACTGAAGCCCTTTTGTCAGGGCTTCACCATAGCCAGTCGCAAGGGCCGTGGGGGTAAGGAAGAGAATGACCAGAGCAAGGCACAACGGTCTCGTCATCAATGGTGATATGACTATGATCATGATTTTGATGTGCACCCGAGCGCATGGCGCCACGTAATGGTATTACTCCAACGGTGAAATCACCCTATTGCCTCAACACAACAGTCCCCTATTGTAAAAGCAGGGTCTTGGACAATCACGGGTTGACCATCCTCGATATCGTAGTACATGTAGCGCAATTGAAGCCCATCCCTTGTACTCATGCTTGCTTCGTGAATTGCTTCCAACAACCGTGCCTCGCGAGCTCGCCTCAAGACCCGCTTCCTTGTCCCATCAACTTGGTACGGGTCAGGGTTGTAGCGGATGAAGTGGACGGGGAGGCCGTTTCCCTCAAGCATCCAAGCCTCGTAGATGCGCAGCATCCTCGAGACCTCACATGCAACACCATATGCCTCGTGCTGGAACTCGTCCACTTCTACCACGATCACCTTGCCTCCCATCAGGATGATGAAGTCTGGCCGTGCAAAGGTTCCCTGGAGACAGCCAAAGTCGATGTGATGCTCCCTCTTGAAGTCGATTCCTGAGGTTGTCAGGAGCTGACTGATGCGCTCCTCTTTGAGCTTCCTGCACTGTTGCCCTTCAGCTGTATACGATAGAAATACGTATGCTTCTTCAGGTGACAGGATCTGGTAAATGTGAGGCCACAGTCCGGGAAAGTGCACATGTATGGGCGGGATCCCGTGTGAGTGCGCTTGTGCTGGGTTAGACCGCTATTGTGCTTAAATGCCGCATCACAGCCGGGGGAGTCACACTTGAACAAACGAGAGCTCGTGTGAGTAATCTTGTGGGACGTCAGACTGTCGCTCCTCGCAAACGCAGCCCCACAGCCCGGCACGTGACGCATGCGTACGTCATGTGCATGCGTCACCTGACGCAGTCGTGCCGTTACACGGTGAGTGCTGCAGCCAGGGTGCGGGGCAGGGGCTGAAGCACCTTGGCGGACGGGTTGAGTTCCCGCCTACGATACTATTCCATCGCCCCACGGACGCACCATACCAGAGTCTGGCGCGCGCCCTCTTCGGACTCGAGAAAGTCCTTGAGTGCGCTGTCCTGCGGCTTGTGAAGGGGGTTGTTGGGGTCGAGCTCCCCAACGGGCTTGTAGCAGTTCACGAATGGCACGAGACAGAGCCTCCGAAGCAGGCCCTCGTCTGCGTCCGCAATGTCCGGCTTGTGATTGGTGAGCAGGACTGGCTTGTGCGTTGGCACAAAGGTCTCTGACTTGCTGAAGAGGTCGCGGGCAGTCATTGCGCCACCTCCGGTGGTCTCCTTGATCAGGGCTCCATTGATCTGCTGCCTCTCTTCGCTCTCGTCGCAGACGGCGAACCTGGTCCCTTTGAGCTGCATGATGTGGCTCGTGGCCGCGCCCTCAGCCCTCTTGCCTCCCGGCTTGATGAAGCAGTCCTTATTCATGACCGTGTAGTACGTGCCAAATGCTTTGGCGAGCGCCTGCTTGAGGGCCCCTTTGCCATTGGCCCCCACACCGTACAGAATACAGAACATCTCCTCCAGCGTGTGGCCTGTGAGGCAGTAGCCAAGGAAGAGCTGCATCCACTCGACTACCTCGAGCTCAGAGTTGAAGATGTCCATGACGAAGGCGTGGAAGCGGCTCGTGAGGTAATCAAGCCCCATGTAGCGAGTCCCCACGGACCGGGAGCACATGTGGCTCGGATGCGGAGCGCTGAGGCGCCCGGTCCTCAGGTCCAGGATGCCATTGGGGGCGCACACAATGTCGAGGTTGCGGTCAAAGAAGCTGAGGAGGTCAGGCTCAAAGAGCTGGTTGATGGTGTAGGTGAGGCATACGTGCGCCTCCTTTGGGTTGCTCACGTTGACCTTGTTCCTTGGCAGCTCCGCATCAACGAGGTCCTCACGAGGTCCTCAACTTCCTTGATCTGATCCTTCCCCGCCCTCTTCCTCATCGTGGCAATCACGGAGGTGATCGCCTCATCCTCGCTGCAGAGCCCCCTCTCAACGAGCTTCTTCTTCGTGAGGGCTTCCCGCTGCCTGTCGTACCACTTGAGCAGCCTCGCCATCTGCGTGCAGAAGGTGCTGACCACCCGGTTGCCATCGTCCCTGACCCACCTCTGGCCGGCCCAAACGTAAAAGTACTTCTTTGCATCTGTGACCAAGATCCGCCCCTCCTTGGCGTAGATGTACCCGAAGATGCGCCCCAGCCCGGTGTAATTCTCGGGGATGTTGTCAGCCACCAGCTTGAGCAGCAGGGTCTGCTCGTCCGTGCTCATGTCTCGGAAGTTGAACACGGTGTCGTCGGCAGACTCGTCGACAGGCTCACTGCCGGCATCCGAGAGTGCCGCTTCTAGCGAGAGGTCTCCGAGGCTCCTGACCCTTTCTCTGCTGCAGGTGGCCCCATGGCACCGGTACAAGAGCTTCTTGCCGCGTTTCAAAACACTATAATTGTTGGACCCGTCGTGGGCCTGTCCGAAGAAGCAGGTGCGGGGCCCTTGCACCCGGAAGCAGTAGAAGGTGCCATAAGGGCCATGGTCGATCGTAGTCGTGCACCGGCTCGTGCTGTCGCCCGCCCTCTCGTAAAGCAGCTCCTTGATCTCCCTTGCGATGGCATCGTGGAGTACGCCCGATTGCACAGGGTCTGCACGGGCGGGCCCCTGATGGCTTGCCTGCAGGGCCCCAATGCTGAGGGCAGCTGAGGGCAGTGCCAGATCGGGGTCGGGCAATGCCGGCGCAATCTGCCCCCCCTGAGCATTCACCAGGCTGGTCAACCAGTCCGGCATCGGATTGCAGCCTAGGCGGGGCTCCCCAAAGTCCCAAGTGTACTCGTAGAGCCTCCCCTCCTCGTCCGTGTAAGTGCTCGGTGGGCAGAAGACTACACCACCCACACCGCGTCCGTCAATGCCGTATGTCTCCCCCTCGTACTTTATGGTTGCGAAGTTGCGAGTCTTCTTCAGACGGGGCGTGTTGGAGGCCGAAAAGTAGTAATGGAGACCGCCACTCCCCGTCTTTGCCCTCAGCGTCACTGGCTCGCCGTGCTCAGCAACCAAACGGTTCCAAAGTTCCATCCCTGACCGCTTCTTCGAGTCGGAAGTTGTGTCTATGTCCAGCACAAAGCAATCACTTATTCCCGTCAGGATTGCGATCCCGTTGCAGCCACGAGTGCTGGAGCAGATGATGCTATCAATGCTTTGCTGCCACTTCTCAACGCTCGTGAGATGGGCCCATGATCTGGGGAAAATTGATCTCTTCTTGCCGTTCTCCATGGAGATTTTAACTGGAAGGCCATAGAAGCCACAGTCTGCGAGCTCGAAGATTGTGGCTCTGAGGCTCTCCATGGGAGACGTCATGAAAATAGCTGCCTCACTCTTCCAACGCGTTCTCCTAAGCCTATTGGAGTCTCTCAAGTTTTGACTTTCACACCTTGACCTCCTACTGAGCTACCAGGATGGGGATCAACCAGCCGGAACATGTTGTCAGAGAGGTATGCACCGACGCTGTCACCTTTGTAGAACATGTCCAATGAGGGCAGGTACTCGACGGTTGTCTTTTTCTGAGCGGCCGCGGCCGCTTGCTTGGCCGCGTCGGCCGCTCGGAGGGCCGCTGTGGCTGCATCCATCCTGGCCGGCAGCCCCTGCAGCCTCTTGCGCACGCCTCTGACAAGCCTGAGGTCCCCCGACGTGTAGATCAAGATGCCCCCCAGGACCAGCAGCACCCCTAGCAGCTGGAGGACGCTTATCACTGGGCTAAGAAAGACAAAGAGGCCTGCACCCACCAGCAGCATTGCCAGGATCTTTGGACTGCGTAGCACCTTTTAAACAAGCACCACAGGCTCGTCCCTCTCGGTTGCCATACCTTATATGTAGGTAGAGTGATTATTGGGTGGCATCCCCCTCTGCTCCCGGGGTCTCACGCGAGGAGGAGGCCTCTTGCGAGGAGGAGGCCTCCTTGGGGTCCACCTCGGTGATGGTCGGCAGGGATTCCTCTTGGGGAAGGGCTTCCAAGCCGTCCTTCATGACGATGGCCTTCCTCTCGTCGAAAATCTCCTTTGCCCTCTTCTGCTCCTCCTCATAGGACTCCATCAGGGTGTTTAGGGTCGGATCGTTATAGACCTTCTTGTTGATTAGGTTGGGGTCGGGGGGGGCTGAGATCCACCTGTACATGTCCACCACGTAGACGTCGAATGCCGGGTCAACCTTCGAGAGCCTCTTGGCATGCTCGCTGGCCTGTTCGTAGGTCTCGAAAGCACCTCTTATCTTCAGGCCAAAGTGATCGCACTTTTGAGCCCCCTGAGGTCCAACGAAAGAGATGATGGCAAAGGCAAGGCCAGGGACCTTGAGAGTGTCTTCGTCCAGGTAGACTTCCTTGGTGCTCATCCGGCTTGCCTCCATAGTTGGCTTAAATGGTGAAAGTAAACGCCCCCCGTTGTCCGCACTCGGGCTCATTTTATTTTCTCTCATGATCTCACTGTGCAGTAATGGACGTGCCGTTGCCTCAACAATATGAGTCTTACGCAGACCGTGATGAGGAGTTCAGGAGCCTTGGGTTGTTCTGCGGCCTGCAGAAGCTCATCTACGTCCTGGCAAAGTATGTCCTGTAGGCCTTTTAAAAAGCACCAAGGAGATTGCAGAGGAACGAAGCCAAGCCGGATATAGGACTTGCGCTCTAACTGCAGCTTGTAGGTTCCCCTCAAATAGCTAGGACCACACCACCATCCATAACACGTTACAGTATCTGTCCTTAGCGCATGCTTATTGCAGAGAGGGCTGAAGCCTGGGGGTACGGAAGTGAGAGAACCTACTAAGGGCCCGAGGGAGGCTTGCTGGAGGAAGATTGTCTCCCTCCCTCCAGCATCGAATACAACTTCGTGTATTGGTGAGTGTGGCTCTTCATCTTCTGCATTCATCTTGGCTCTGGTGTCCTGGATGTTTCCTTTCAAAGCCTCAATTGTGTCTTCATAGAGCTGTGGGCGGTTTGGCCATAATCAACAAAGTCCCTGGGGATAAGGGCTGGTCCTGTCGCTTGCATTAATTGCTCATTTGAAATTTACCCTGTCTCAAAACTTGCTGTGCATGTGTCCAAATTGCTTTTTTATCTGCAACTTAGTTACGAAAAGGAAGGTGCGTTGTGCAGAATCCCTATGATACATGGTCACAAAACTGTGGTTGCCTCTGTTTTTTTCATACCCCACAAGCCTTCTATCCTGAACAGCTCTCTCTGGACCGATCCCATATTATCCAGATCATGTTCCATCTCTGCTCAACCCCATCGCTTTCGTATATTGCAGGATTGGCTCTTGCTGGTTCCAGCTTGATTCGAGAACTTCAAAGTCGCCAGCATAGGTGCATGCCAGAGCCCTCAGAGGCCCCCAGCGAACTGAGCAGCAGACAACCCAAAGGAGGAAGCGCGCCTGGAGGGCTATGGACCGGGGTGGCTCAGGAGAGCATAGCGGATCCTGGGGGCTCTGCAAAGCCTTCCCTCACAACAGCAGAGGCCGCGGTACAGCTGGCTGAATGGGGAGATGCAATGCTGGCAGAAGTAGAGTCTGCTCTTGACAAAGATGTCAAGGGGGAGGGGTGGGAAAGAACAGTGAATGAAGCGGGGCCCAAAAAGT